GGGCATTCGTCCCATTTGCCATTTTTGACGAACTTGAGCTTGAGCAGAGACGACTTTTGGTAGTTTTTCAAGGGAAAAATATTGGGGTAAGTGATTCTAACTCGTATTTGGTCTATATATACAAGTATATTATTGTTTTCACCATAAATTAGTTTTTTGAGATTTAAATTTTGGAAAGTTTTAGAAATCTCATAGAAACAAATTTTTGAGATTTCGGTATCGATTCGGAGTCGGATTTGAGTGAAACTGGTATCGTTGGAATCGTAATTGAATGGGTTATCAGATTTCATAACTTTCGCTGAATTTTGAGATGTGGGCCTCGCGGGCGAAATTTTAATTAATTTCGGGATCTTTTCTTAAAAATGTAGTATTTTCTTACAGAATAGATTCCTATAATATTTAGTGACTGTATCAAATTATTTTGGCTAGATTCGAGCCAGACAGAGTTGGATAATCGTGGAAAAGGCCTTATAGTGGATTAAATTGGAGCAAGACGAGGTAAGTCTCTTGTCTAATCTTGTGAGGGGGAAATTACCTCATAGGTGATTAAGATTAAACAATTGTTGCTAAATTGTGGGGGCTACGTACGCACGAGGTGACGAGAGTCCGTGCGTAGCTACTATTAATGCTAAAGTCCGGGTAGTTTAGGACTCAAAGCATGCCTTACTTGTGTAAATTGTATNTTTACGTACTCATACTACACTTGCTGTACTTTTTTGTGCAGGACCTGAGACAGGTACTAGTGGAGGACCTATCATCACATACCCACGTCATCCCGAGGCATAGTGGTGAGCTGCCTTTCTGAGCCGTTCTGCAGCTACCAGTGTCTCTTCTTATATTTATATTCTGTCTATTTTATTTCAGACAGTATTTGAAATTTTGTATAATCTACTAGATGCTCATGCACTTGTGACACCAGGTCTTGGCACACACATTGGTAGAGTTTGGGTTATATATTTTTTTTCTTGGTTTTAAACTTTATCAAAGTATGCTAAATTTATTAGTTGGCTTGCCTAGCTGTAGTGTTAGGTGCCATCACGACCTACAGGTGAAATTGGGTCGTGACACATATTGCACCAGTGTAGCTACATTTGTCTTCTTCAGAACTACTGCTATTATCCGAGTTATATGCCATGTTTATCATTTCATCGTCACTGTCAGAATAGCTCTCATCTGATGATGACGATGATGTGATGTTTTTATTTTGTTCTAGAATAGCAAATAGCTTTTCTTTAACATTTTCATCAATTTCTAAGGTATTAACCTTTTTCTTTTTCTTGTTGGTGACTGGGCATTCATTAGCTATATGCCCTGTCTTTTCACATGACCAACATTTATCACCATGTTCTTTTTTAGAACGTCTTTTAAATCTTCTCTTCTTAGGAGTTCCTTCTTTCTTTTCTTTACGCTTATGGCGTCTTTTTGATTTTTCAGAAGATTTTTTATGTTGTTTTGCTCTTTTAGAAGGAGCAGCAATAGTTTTAAATCCGAAGTCTTGACAGAAGCATCCTAATTCTGTTTTGGATTGGAGTTTGTCTTTTTTAATAAGACTCTTAAGTTTTAAGTCTGTACATAAGTCAAGACCTGTTACATTAATAAAATTGATTAAATCTCCATATGTAAGATTGTCATAAGGGATTTGTCTATTAAATCTATCTTTAATTTTAGTTCTTACCTTTTCGGCAAATAATCTTGGTAAACCACTGATAAATCTTTCTTTCCAGAAAGCACTACCGCAGTCTTCTCTAATCATTACTTTTTCTATAAACATATCTTTATACCATCTAAAATCTGTTAATTTTGGACTGTTAAGATTGTTAAGACGTTACAAACTCCTGTCTTGGAAAAGTTTTGGTTCTCCAATGAAGTGTTTAGCAATACAGTAGATTAAAGTTGCAGAAGCATCTTCTCTAACTTCTTGCTCTGCAACTTGCATTCCTGATTCAGTTTTTATTATAGTTGCAACTGTAGTGGCTCCTAGAATTTGATTTCTATTTTTTTCTGATAGATAATTATCCCACCAATTTTTTAATATTCCAGTAAATCCTGAAATTATTAATGTAGCAGCATTAACCACTGAGCATCTAGACTTTTCCAATCTATTTCAAAGTTATCGGCTCGGATTACTGTTAACTGATCAGCTGTTTCAGCAGTTGGGCTTCTTGGAGTAGTAACAAAGGGCTTATTTTGATAAATAACTTTGGGAATAGTTCTATTAAAGTCTACTCCCTTAAGTTTTGTATCAATTTCTTCAATTAATTCTTCGTCACTTTTGTTATCCTTAGAAGAAGTAGGTCTAGTGAAAGACATTCTTCTACAGAAACTGGCTGAACCTGGACTTAAGAACTTTAAGTCTATGGCTCCAGAAGGATATTGAATGACTTATTCAATGTATGAACTCTCAGGTTCATATTTTGGTTGGGTGATGGCTTCAAAACTCCATTCATCTTTTGAAAGAATTTTATCCCACTGAATCATTCTAGGGACAAAGGTATTACTATGTTCCTGGTTTGCTTCCATGAGCATAGTAACTCCTTTATTACTTTCGATTTTAGCTTTTGGGGCTAAAGTTGTTTTTATTAGTCTGTAATATACTCTATAAATTACAGTTATTTCCCTTGTGTTAACTTTGCTATTCATGTTTTTGGTTTTTATATTAAGAGTTAATATATCCAAAATGTTCTGGTCATTTATGTCAACTGAAAAGTTTGGATAGCAATTAAAGTATACCGGGCCTTGGGCTAGGTTACTTTGCAGAACTCCTAATAATGAATCATCAAAGTTAAGAAGTCTGTCATCTCTTAGTAAGAGACAGAGGGGGGTGTCTAAATCTAATCTATATAGAGGTTTGACTGCCACTTGTACTAATCTGATGTGAAAGAAATTGAATTTCTTTTTATATTATTGAATATCTTGTGCAGCTAATAACTTGATTGTTTCTATCAAGTTATTGATGGCAATAGTTGATTAACAAGTTTTGATATTATAATTTTTTATAAAATCAAACTTACCAATATGGTAGATGGTACTATAGGATTCTCTCGGAATACTCCAATTTTGTAAATCATTTTCTATTTTGGCAATATTCGTTACTACTAGAGACTGATTGATATTATTTAAAATTTTATCTTTATCAGAATTATTCATTTTTAAAAAAGGGTCGTGCACCTTCTAAGACAAATATTTATTACTTTTAGATTAAGTAAAATATAAAATCTTCTACTTTTATAATCATATAATTTTTGTACTAAAGTTTTTATTACTTCAGAAATTTCTTCTAAAGTTTGTTTCCTTGGCTCAATAAAAACAAGTTCTTTATAAATCTGAATATTGTAATCAGCACGGAATATTTTTTTATCGATTTTTCTTAATCCTTTTAAAATTCTCCATTTGCCTCTATTTAATAATCTTATTTTATTAAAAGAAGGATGATTTTTCATATTAAAAAGTTTTTCAAAATTTTATCAGTATTTGAGAGATATACTATCTTTAAAGTATAAGTCTACTATCTCTGTTATCAAAATCATGTAATAATAGTCTTAATAATTCTATAATGTTCTTAACTGTATAGTGTCTACTATTTATCTTCTTCTTCACTACAGCTTACCAATGAAGTGAACTTAGTTCTAAGTTATCTTGGGGATTGGGGATTAAATATGTTAACTGTATCCTGTTGTGTCCTGTCTCTCGTGGTACTCCCTAGCATATGGACGACGGCAACTGACGGCAGTTTAATAAGGTTTAATCGATATCCTACAAGGGTCCCTCACACTATGAACATAGAACACTCAGAGGATAAAATCTGAAGCTTTAAAGAAGATGAACAGTAAACCTATACAGAA